ATTTAACACAACGGGCAGCACATTGAACACATTTTATAAGTGGTCAGAAACTTGTAAATAACTCATAAACAAATAAAGTTACGTTAAAAGCAAGCACACCATTGTTTTTCTTGTGAAATTCCCAATAAGTTTGATGTGTCACATGACCCTCTTCCCATTGAAAAAATAAAAGTTGGATCCAAGATGGCCGACTTCAAAATAGCCACCAAGGTCACCACCCATCTTGAAAAGTTTGCCCCCTCACATATACTAATGTGCCACAAACAGGACGTTACTGTCACCAACCATTCCCATTTTATTATGGTGTATCCATATAAATGGCCCACCCTGTAGTACATTATCGCATGATGCCCCGCAAGAATTCATGAATGGGTGTGAAGCGACGCAACTGAAGCAAGTAGGTCACGTGACCATGACAAAATGGCAGATGTAGTACATCAGAGTTCCATTCATACTACTCTCATTCATACTGTATGGAACATACTTTTCTGACGGCTAAATAGTAAATTCAAATGCAGTACCCACTAAGTAGTATTAGTCAATTTTTGACGCAGCCTGGTATGACCATGAATGGGCAAAAGTGCAAAGCTCAGTATGGCTGAAGCAAGTTCCACCTTCCTTTTGAATTAGCCAATCGCCAGTCTGTATAGCTACGCAGTTCTGTAGAGGAAGAGTCTGTACAAATGTGCTTGTTTGTTACGGTAAGCCCTGCTGTTTGTCGGTAACTGTGTGTCTACATTGATCTTGATAGGAGAAAAAAACAAGACAACACATCCCATCACATGTCCACTTGTTAAGAAGAGCATCTCGTTTATCATACGCCACGACTTAACAAGCGGATCTCGTGTCCTTCCAGTGTCGTCCTCCAGTGTTTCCATAAGGTTTTGTCTCCGTTATTGCAGGCTGCATCTGAAACTGCATACTTTCCTAGTATATAGAATGTTGAAAACAGTATGCAAGCAGAGTAGTATGTCCGCGGGTAGGTCATGTGATGATCACAACTGGTAAATACTCAAACTCCAACTTTTCTAAAGGTAGTGGAGGAAATTCAAATTCAAGTGTTATTTCCACAACAAACTTGTTTCTCCCTGTGTAGTTTGCTTCAATCGGTCACTTTAAAGGTGGCATTTAATCACAACAGCAGCAGAATGTTAAACAGGACAAATGATCTTCGTAGATGCTAAATCCGCTAATTGCTCTTCGCTAAGTGTACTTGTTAGCACTGCTGGTCAGGCAAAAGGACTGGAATGATTCACACTGGACACTAATGACGGGTTGCAGGCAAACACAACTGCTTGTGTGTTTGATTACAAATGATACCATTTTTATTATGTATTTTATATAATTGTTTTAAATTTATAGCTTATATTTCAATGTTTGTATTATTTAAAAATGGATTATATGTAATATGACAAAAAATTTATAATAATAATTATGGTTGGGAAAATTCTACAATATAAATTTATTGGATGCATTGTTTATTATATATTTTATTATTTAATATGACTGTTTATAATGCATTTTTTGTTTATTTATATTTTGAAATATAACTATTATATAAAATGCATAACAAGCTGCATTATCTACAATGAAATAATTTACAACATTAATAATGTATTACACATGTCGTTTTTTATTATGAATATACATTCTTTTCCAATTAATTAATAGCAATAATTGTAATGTTAATTATGTTAGGTAAAATTCTACAATATAAATTTATTGGATGCATTGTTTATTATTTATTGTATTATTTAATATTATTGTCTGAAATGCAT